GTTTCCTGGCTTCCTCCAGGGTCCTTCCCGCAAGGACTTCGCAGCCCCGCGAGTGGGGCAAGGCACAGCCTGGGAAGCGGCGCGACCGGGAGCAGCACTGCGCCTTCTTCCCCTACTGCATCCAGGACCAGCAGTGCAGCGCTGAGCAGCACGACCAAAACGAACACGACGACGTCGGGGAGCACGACGGGGTGCAGCAGCATCAGCCCCGGATCCACGAGTGAGACAAGCTATGGAATTAACACCACACCTTCACACAGTACGCCCACGACCAGCAACACGACGCTGAGCAACACAGAAACCAGCAGCTCCGCAGTCGCACCCCGCCCCAGCTTCACCAGCGCCGCTGCCCAGATGTCACGCTGCACGGGAGGCGGCGCAACGCCAGGCCTCAACAGCATGACCAGCGACATGAAGCTCAGCACGGCGGAGCGCATCCGCAGCCGCCTCCCTACACCTGCGACTGGGATCGGCTACACGGCACTTTCCTCCTCTTTTTCCCGTTCCTTTTCTTCCGCTACCTGTATTCCTACTTCTCCTTTTTCTCCCCCCCTCCTCCTCCTCCTCCTCCTCCTCCTCCTCCTCCTCCTCGCTCCTTGCACCGGGACTTCCTCACAAGTTACACAGGAATCGGACTCTCGCGAAGGACTTCCTTACAAATTACTCCGGCGCCGCGCCTTCGGCACTCAGGAATCACGCTCTCGCTGTGGATTTCCTCACGATTTACTTGGGACATCGCGCTGCTTCCTCGCGATTCATGCAGGTCGCACCCTTCAGCGACCCGCCTGCCCCTTGTCCCTTCCTTCCATCCGTCCTCTCTTCCCCTGCCTTAGGGGCTGCACGAAATACACGTTGCAGGTAAGACAGATATACCCCCAAGGGGGTACGATTGAAGACGAAGAGAGCGGGTATCGAGAGTTTGGGATTTACGTGTGGAATGGGATGCGAGCAGCTAAGAGCGATCAGTCTTACTATGATTGTTGTTGTTGTTGTTGTTGTTGTTGTTGTTGTTGTTGTTGTTGTTGTTGTTGTTGTTGTTGTTGTTGTTGTTGTTGTTGTTGTTGTTGTTGGTGTTGTTGTTGTTGTTGTGGTTGTTGTTGCTGTTGTTGCTGCTGCTGGTATTGTTGTTGTTGCTGCTGTTGTTGCTGCTGTTGTTGTTGGTGTTATTGTTGATGCTGATTAACCCCACACGTTGCGATCGTTCTCTGTTCAGCTCCGCGAGTCTCTTGCAGCAGGACGTCGTGGCTGGTGCATCGTAGGTAACACGTGGTGTGCGGGTATGCCTTTCTCTACACGTCGTACATGCTTCTTGGCTTTCGTCTACAAGGCGACCATCTCGGGGATTGTCGTCTACGTCCTGAGCGCAGCTGCACATGCGAAGCTGGATGCGATGCTCGTTGGTTATCTTCGTGCTTGATGCGTGGGCGAGCTTGCGAGCGACCTTCTGATACTGTTGGGCATCACCGATCTCTTTCGAATGCCAGCGTGTGGCAGCGCTGGCGCATCGCCCCCACTACGGAGGAGCTTCGAGTCTGGCGCCTGATGTGGCATCAGAGTTGGGCGAGGTAACCCACGGATTACTCTTAAGTGTTTGCGGCCGTGCTCGGAAAGTGCGAAGGCAACGAGCGTTCCCCTTTGGACCATGAAGGCCAGGCTGTCCGGGCAGACGCAGCTTCCTTCCTGCTACAACTCCAAAGTGTTTTGGAAGTACTCGGAGCAACGGAGATGGCGCAGTCGTGGTGGGAAGACCTGGACAATCATATCCTTCTGGTGTTTACGACAGATGATTTCCAGGAGCCTTTCTCAGGCGATCGCCAACATGGATCAAGGGGGCGTGGATCAGCGACGGGGCCCGTTTCCATTGGAAATCGCGGATTTCTGCCGCCGAAGGAGGCGACACTGGCCGCATTTTTGGGAGGGCACCTCCCGGATCCATGGATTTGGCGACTGCGCGCCAAATCCATGGATCGCTAATCCATATTTGCGCGTACCCGACTTTCATCGAGTTCGACGTGACATACTTGCGGGCTTGTTCCCACGGCGCAGCTTGGGCGCCTCCTGGTCTGCACTGTCCTGCCCCCCAGCGTGGGCCCGACCTTCGCGAGCTTGTCCGGGAATGCACCCCGCAGTATGCTGGTTCGGAGGCGTGCGGGCAGTGTTTCCTCACGCACCAGGGGGTCATGACGCACGTTCGTTTTGCACAGTCGACTCGAGCGATTGCTTGTGCTGCCACGATTGCCAACCAGTGTTGTTGCTGCCTGTCTCGCTTCTCCCAACGCGATTATTCGCAGCAGCCCATCTGGATCGGGCTTGTCGTAACGGCGTTTGCTTTGCTGGTTGCTCTCCCACGTGTCCTCTGCTTATTCGCCCCCTCCTGATCTTCAACGTTGCCCTTTCTGCGGACCTGAGGTTCAAGTTTGGGAGCATCAACCGAACCATATCCGCAGTCACGTGGACCCAGGCCCACAGGCCGTCGATTGGTATGCCGATGGGGTTGCCAGCGTGGATGACGACCACTGTCGGCGCCAACAAGCGGCCGAGGTCCGACGCGGCCGGGGCGGCCAACAACAAGCAGAGGAAGACCGACGACGACCGCGAGCAGGCGCGCGCAGCCCTCACCATCGCGGGCATCGAGGGCAGCTTGAAGAATGTGCCCACGATTATCACCACCCTCGCGCCTTCTCACGACAATGTGACCGGTGACCTTGTCGGAGCCACCTTCCGTTCCTCATCGAGTGGGCCAACCCCGCCGCCCAGTCCATCAAGCCAGCCACGGTGGCCTACGCGGAGCAGGTGAAACAGATCGGACGTGACCAAAAGCTCGGGGCAATGCCAGCAGGAGGAGGGAACAGTGAAGAACACCTTGGAGGCGTACTGGAGCGAGGTCATCGGCAAGGCCACGGCCCTGGAACTGCTGGCGGACACGGTGAAGCACTGCTGGGTGAGCAAGACGCACAACCCGAATATCGTAAAGCCCGAGTTCGCGGTCGCAGTGTGGCGGCCCGTAGGCGATGGCGCCCTGACCCTCGAGGAGGCGGCGATGGAGGCGACGATGGCGATCGGAGGCCAGCGCCGCTACGGCGCCCCTCCCAAGTCGGCTTGGACCCGCGACGCCCAGAGGATATTAGATTTATTGAAAGAGGGCAGCTGGGCTGGCGAAAAAAAAAAAGTGTGCGTGGTAGTTGCGTTCCACTCCTCTTCCTCCTCCGCTGCAGCAGAATCGGCGAATCCTGTCGTAACTGGCCCGCCTTGGGAAAAGCGGCCGAATTGTAGCAACCCTGATTTTGTCGAGCCCTCCTCCCCCTCCTCCTCCTCCTCCTCCTCCTCCTCCTCCTCCTCCTCCTCCTCCTCCTCCTCCTCCTCCTCCTCCTTCTCGCCCGCGGACCAGAATAGGCATGCCATGTCGTAGCGGCGCGCCCCTGGGTCGCGACCCCGATTTTGGGCTAGCGTCGGGACAATCTGTCTTAACGGCGCGCGGGTGAAGATTTTCAGTCTGGTCGGAATTTTCAGAGCATAGGAAGTTCGTGAGGGGCCCGCCTGACTGCTAGTTGCTTCAGTGTCGGGCAGGCGCGCCGGAGCACAAAGTGGCTGTAACGCGCCGCCTGCCATGACCAGTGTGGCATCACCGCCTGCTGGCCGTGGTGCTTCCGTGCACGGGGGCCCCGCCACATTTTAATTTCGCATCTGTGATTTCGGGGACCCTCATGTATTGTTGTTGTTGTTGCTGCTGTTGCTGTTGTTGTTGTGACTGCTGTTGCTTCTGCTGTTGTGGTGTTCGGTGTGGTTGTTGTTGTTGGGGATGATGGAAGCGGCAACAGTTGTTTATTATGACAATGCCTATGCTGCTGCTGATGATGATGCTGAAGGTGGTGCTGGCGGTGACGAGTGTGATGAGTATGCTGATCACACTGGCCTGTCATGATGACGGTGGTTGTGATTGCGGATGATGGTGATGCGGGTGGTTGCGATGGTGGGGATGTTGATGGTGATGCTGTTGCGGATGATGATGATAATGTTGACGATGAGGGTTGTACGGGGGGTCTAGGACGGTGATGGTGATGGTATTGATGATGTGTCGGGATGCGGTGGTGATGAGCATGATGGCGTCGACGTCCATGCTGATGATCGATCGACGATGACTGGGATGACGGCGACGATGATGATTATGGTCATGGTTATGCTGTTGGTATGATGCTGGTATGTAACGATGTGGATTATGGTGGTGGTGGTGATGACGACGACGATGATGATGAGAAGGCAGAAGAGGAGGAGGATGAGGAGGGGGAAGAGGAGGAGGAGGAAGAGGAGGAGCAGGTTGAGGATGATGATATTAGCGAAGGGAGTGGATGGAGAAAATAGGAGGTGCAAGGGAAGAAAGAGGGAGGTTGGGAGGCATATTCTCCCCTCTGCAGCTTGCAGCTGCCACTGCCCTGGGGATGTCCACGTGCTTCGTGGATAGGGACACGGAGAAACGAACGAACTAGCAAAAGACGAGAGCGGGTTGGATGAAGGCAGCAGGGTGACGCAAGCTTGCCGGAACAGAATGGGGTGGGACGGAAGGAAAACGGGTAGGGGAGGAGGAGGAGGAGCAGGAGCAGGAGGGGCAGGAGGAGCAGGAGGATGAAGAGGAGGAGGAGGAAACGAAAAGGAGGAGGAGGAGGAGGAAGGAAATGACGAGGAGGAGGAGTACGAGGAACAAGAGTAGGAAGAGGAGTAGGACGAGGACGAGGAGGAGGAGGAGGCGGAGGAGGAGGAGGAGGAAAAGGAGGAGGAGGAGGAACAGGAGATGGCGGCAGCGGCGGCGGCGGAGGGGAATAGCAGCCGAAACATTATGTTTATGCTTGAGCTGTCGCGTTGCTTTCCCGCAGCCCCTTCTGTCCTGGTTGCTCTCTTCTAGCCCTCCTGCCCCTGCTTCCCTCCCTCCTGCCCCGTCCCTCCTTCCCTCCTTCCTCCTATCCCAGGGCAAGTGAGGTGTCGCTCGACAGAAAAGCGGCTACGAGCGGCACCAGCCCCTGCGGCCACGGGCAAGGGCAAGGGCAAGGGCAAAGGCAAGGGCAAGGGCTCTGCCAACAAGGGCAAGGTGGCCCTGCGACAAGTTTCTCTTTCCAACCTCCGCCGCGCCCCATTTCATTCCTACCTCTCCTCCTCCTCCTCCTCCTCCTCCTCCTCCTCCTCCTCCTCCTCCTCCTCCTCCTCCTCCTCCCCCTCCTCTTCCATCCCTCCCCCGTGCAAGTAGCCCCTCCTTGTCGCACCCTCAGACGTGCCGGTTGGGCGGACCGGCCCTCCCGCTGAGACTTCCTCGCCATTTACGATCCTTAAGCATGATATTTGCAGCAGCTTCAAGGATGGAGGGCGGATGGTTTTCAAAGCGTGGCTTACGCCTTTGCGTGGAGCGCAGTCGTCCCAAGAGTTCGCAGTCACTTTAATGATGGAGGGCGTGTGGTCAACATGTTGCTCTCACCTGAGCGCCGCGCACATTCGTCCTACGCGTCAACGGGAGTTTCAATGATGGCGGGCCGTTCTTTTCAAAGGGTGGCCCTCGTTTTTGGGCCGCGTTCATTTCTTCGCAACATTCGCAGCAATATTTCAGACATGTTGTTTTGGCACGATTTGACACTATCAGGGTTCAACTTGATCAGCGGTGTTGAAGTTCCAGAAATGATGTTCAGGTGCGGTGTATGATTGTGAGGACGCAGCCATCGAGTTCATTCTCGGCGTTGAAATCCTAGGCATGGTGTTTTGGCCCGATCTAGGATTCTCAGACGGTTGACTTTCAATGGGGCGCTTCTCGCAATGCAAATAAGTTCTTGTTGGGACTTATGGATAGAGAGCTTGGGAGGTTTGCAATATCGTGGATGCTTCTTGGATTTGCACTGTTCCTCCTCCTCCTCCTCCGGCTCCTCCGAAAATCGTTCAAACCAGCAAGGCAAGTATCGCTTAACCCTGGAGTGAAATCGTTTCTAGGTCTTCCACTGCTACCAACTTCGAAACGACTTACCTCCAGAGTTAAATGAGTCTACGGCTTGTGCTTCTTTCCGCTCGCAGAATCACTCAACTTCGGAGTTAAGTCATTCCTTAGGCCGTTGCTCCTCACGTGGCGGGGAAAAGGAAGCTAACGAAAAGGAAGGGAAATGGAAGGAAACGAGACGGAAAAGGACACGAAAGGAACGGGGAGGGAAACGGGAGGAAACAGGAGGAACACGAGAGGAAAAAGGTAGTGGAACGGAAGGAGACGAGAGGGAAACGGGAGGAAAACGAGAGGGAAAAGGTAGGGGAGCGGAAGGAAGCGAGAGGGAAACGGAAGGGAAACGAGATGGAAACGGGAGGAACACGAGAGGGAATAAGGGAGGGGAGCGGAATGAAAGAGATGGAAACATAATGAAACGAGAGAGACGCGGAAGGAAACGGACGGAAACGAGACGGAAAAGGAAGGAAAACAGACGACACCGGGAGGGACAGAAGGAACCAAGAGGTAAAGGGGAGGGAAACGGAAGGAAACGAGAGGTGAACGGGAGGGAAACGGAAGGAAACGATACGGAAAAGGAATGACATTGGAAGGAAAGGGGAGGGAAACGGAAGGGAAAACGGAAGTAAACGAGAGGGGAAACGAAGGGAAACGGAAGAAAACGAAAATGAACAGGAATCGGAAGGAAAAGGGAAAGAAACGGAAGGAAAAGGGAAGGAAAGGGAAGGAAACGAACAGAACACGGATTCTTCAATAAGAGGGAGGGAAGCGGAAGGAACATATGGAAAAGGACACGGAAGGAAAAGAGAGGGAAAAAAGACACGGAAGGAAAAGGGAGTCGCACAGACGGAAACAAGAGGGACAAGGACACATAAGGAAGCGGCAAGGAAACACAAGTCAACGGGAGGGAACATGACACGGAAGGAACATGGAGGGCAATGGAAGGCAATGAGAGGGGAAACGACACGGAATGAAAAGGGAGAGAAACATTCATACATGTGCGGGAATGCGAGGAAGAGGGAGGGCAGCGGAAGGAACATGTAGGACAACGGAAGGGCAAAGGGAGTGGCACGAAACGAAAAGGGAAGGAAACGGGAGGAAGAGGAAGGGCAACGGAACCTTGAAGGTAGGGCAACGAAAGGGAAAAGGGAGGGACACGGAACGAACAAGGAAGGAACCGGGAGGACAAGGGAGGGAAACGGAACGAAAATGGAGGGAAACGAAAGGAAAAGGGAGGGACACGGAAGGAAAGGGGAAGGGCGCGGAAGGACATAGGAGGTGTACGGAAGGAACAGGAGGGAAACGGAAGGCAAAGTGAGGGAAGAGGGGCGGAAGGCAGCAATTCGCTCCGACGGACCGAGCAGTTTCATTTGTCCTTCGGCGCAGGGCCAGCGAGGGGCGGCGGAAGCGAAACGGGCGCAGCTCCACCAGCGGAAGGCCTGCGGAAGCCCGCGGGATCAGAGCATGCTCCCCCAAGACATGCCGATGCTTGTGGACTCATGGTTTGGGGGCCACATGCGAACCCTACCCCTACCCCCCACGATTTCTGAGGGGGAGGGTGGGGTTCACTTCGCTTGGGAGCTCCCGAACGAAGTGAACCCCACTCTCCCCCTCAGAAATCGTGGGGGGTAGGGGTAGGGTTCGCATGTGACCCCCCAATGGTTTCCGGATCGAGCTCTTAGGCCCAGGCTTTCTTGGGTTTCTGAGTTTTGGGGGCTCCCCGCTGGGAGGCCCCCAGAAGGACCCTGCTGTCCCCTCGTGTCCTCCACTGTCGTGTCCCCTGCTGCACCCCTCGTGTCCCCTGATGCCCACTCGTGTCCCTCTCGTGTCCCTCTCGTGTCCCCTGCTGTCCCCTCGTGCCCCCTTCGTGTCCCCTCCTGTCCCCTCGTGTTCCCCTCGTGTCCCCTGCTGTTCCCCTCGTGTCCCCCTCGTGTCCCCTGCTGTTCCCCTCGTGTCCCCCTCGTGTCCCGCTCGCGTCCCCTATGTGCTGTTCTCTCGTGTCCTCCTCGTGCCCCCTGCTGTGCCCTTTTTTCTCGTCGCCGTTGCCGGGTCATCTTTAGAGAACGCCCACCGGTTCCTTCGTGGCTGCTCATCTAGCACCCTCATGGCTGCTTGTCGCGGTTTCTGTTGTGTGTCGTAGTCGCCCATGCGGGTTCCTCTTCGAAATAAATTTCAATTGCGCCTTCGCAGCTGCTCATCTAGCGCCCCCGCGGCTGCTCATCCAGCGCCTTCTTGGCTGCTCATCTAGCACTTTCGTGGCTGCTCATCCAACGCCTTCATGGCTGCTTGTCGCGGTTTCTTTGGTCTGTCCTCGGCGCCCTTGCCGGGTCAATTTCAGCAGCGCCTTCGCGGCTTCTCATCTGGCGCTTTCGTGGCTGCTCATCCAGCGCCTTCTTGGCCGATTGTCGCGGTTTCTTTGGTGCGTCTTCGTCGCCCATGCTGGTTCCTCTTCGACATCAATTTCTGTAGCGCTTTCGCGACTGCTCATCTGGCGCCCTCATGGCTGCTCATCCAGCGCGTTCAGGGCTGCTCATCTGGCACCTTCGTGGCTGCTCATTCGGCGCCTGCATGGCTGCTTGTCGCGGTTTCTTTGGGATGTCCTCGTCGCCCATGCCAGGTCCTTGTCGAAATTCATTCCAGTAGCGCTTTCGCGGCGCTTTCGTCGCTGCTCATCCAGCGGGGTGTCTTTGGTGGCGTCGTGTCCCCTGCTGTCCCCTCGTGTCCCCCACGCGTCCCCTGCTGTCCCCTCGTGTCCCCCTCGCGTCCCCTGCTGTCCCGTTGCGCCCCCCTGCTGCCCCCTCGCGTCCCCTGATGCCCACTCGTGACACTCGTGCCCCCTGCTGTCCCCTCGCGTCCCCCTCGTGTCCCTTCCTGTCCCCTCGTGTCCGTCTCGTGTCCCCTGGTGTCCCCTCCTGTCCCCCTCTCGCCCCCGGCTGTCCCTTCGCGTCCCCGGCTGTCCCTTCGCGCTCCCTTCGTGTTCCCCTGGTGTCCCCCTCGTGTCCCCTGCTGTCCCCTCGAGTCCCCTGCTGTCCCCTTGTGTCCCCGTCGCGCCTCCTGCTGTCCCCTCGCGTTCCCTTCGCGCCCTCTGCTGCCCCCTCGCGTTCTCCTCGTGCGCTTTCTTGTCCCCCTCGTGCTCTTTTTGCAGCGCGGCGCCTTGCGATGCCGTCAGGTACGTTGCGCCTGGCGCGCTTTCCTGGCCTGCGTGGGCTGCGGCGCGTTCCTACGGTGCGTGTTTCGTGGTGCTCGTGGCAGGTGTGTATCGTGGAAGCCTTGCATTTGCGAAGTGTCCGCGGTCTCCAGGCGCAATCCTGGCCCCGGACTCCTCCCGAGCCGCCGCTTGCGTCGCACCGTGGCCAGGCGGGGCGCCCCAGAGTGCACCGCGGGACTCTGCGCTGGGCCGCGCGCGCCGCGACATCCCCCGGGGGGCTGCCCCGCGGAGCGAGCGCGCGGTGTTCGGTCCACGCGCCGCAGCAGCCCTGCGGGTGGAGGTCTCTGCGCTGCGTTCGCATCGGGTCTTGCGGGGGGTCGGCTGTTTCCAGGCACGACCTTGGCGTCGCCCTCTCTGCAGAGTGCCGCCTGCGGGGGGGGGCCGCGCGGAGTGCCCCGGAGTATTCCAGAGTGCTCCGCGCCAGGCCGGGCGCGGCGCGGCTGCCCCGTCGGGGGCTGCCTTGCGGGGCGTGTCGCGTGACGGTTGGGCCGCGTGCTGCAGCGACCCCGATAGGGGGCTGCTCTGCACATCTGTGCCGGGCCCCCCCCCCCCGGGAGCACGCGAGCCTTCGGGCCGTGTCTCTTTGCGCCGCCCGTTGTCGTCGCCGTCGTCCATGCGCACTTGCTACTCCAGATTTCGTAATAAAAGGGAGGGGGTCTCAACCCTCCCAGACGAGAAGTTTTAGACCCCCCCCCCGGGAGAACCCTCCAAAACATCGTCCCCAGACCCCCCCAGGCCCTCCAAGATAGCCTGGAAGAGACCCCCCCCCCCGAAATGAGACCCCCCTCCCTTTATTACGAAATCTGGAGTACCGTGACGCCCCGTTGCTCCCGGGGCTGGAGCGCTCCCAGAGTTCCCGCCTGGCCGCCCGTCCGCGGTGGCTCCGCCTTGCTTCCTTGAGGCTCTGCGCGGCGCCGCGCGGGGCGTGCCGCGCGCGCCCCCTGCGGGGTTCTGCTTCGCGGTGCTCGCGGCAGGCATCGAGGAAGCCTTGCATTTGCGAGCTGCTCGGTGGTCTCAGGGCTCAGTGTGGGCCCTGGCCTCCTTCAGGAGGGAACAAAACGCAGACACAGTTCATCCTCCACTCCCAGGAAAATATGGGAAAATATGGGAAGTGGGGGGGAAGACAAAAACCCACAACATATGGGAAAAGATGGGGAGCCGTTCTATTTGTGTGTATTTATCTGTGTGTCCTGGGGCCCCTTCACTCCTCGCAAGCGCCGCTCGCGTCGCAGTGTGGCCTGGCGGTGTGCCCCAGGGTTCTCCGCAGGGCTCCCGCGCTGGGCCGCGCCGCCCCGCGGAGCGCGCGCGCGGCGCTCGGCCCCACGTGCCGCAGCAGCCCTGCGGGAAGAGGTTTCTGCGCTGCGTTCGCATCGGGTCTTGCGGGGGGTCGGTCGTTTCTAGGCGCAACCTTGGCCTGCAAAAAAACCCGCAAAGGATTGCAAAAAAAACCCGCAAAGGTTTTTTTTGCAAAAACCCGCAAGGGTTTTTTTGCAATCCTGGGTTTTTTTTTTTTTTTTTTTGCAATCCTGGTTTTTTTTTGCAATCCTGGTTTTTTTTTGCAATCCTTCGGGTTTTTTTTGCAAGCCCATCTCTGCAGGCGCCGCCTGCGGGAGGGGCCCAGACGGAATGCCCCAGAGTGCTCCAGAGTATTCCGCGCCAGGCAGGGCGCGGCGCGGCTGCCCCGCCCCGCGCCGCGATGCTTGGGCCGCGTGCTGCAGCGACCCCGATGGGGGCTGCTCTGCATATCCGTGGCCGTGCAAGAAGCGATGGAGTTGGCGTGTGAGGTCTTGGGGCCTGTTCCCGAGGTTGCACCGCCTCAAGATGCTGCTTTCGAGTGCTGGCGCGAGCTAGGCCATGCGATCGAACCCGAAGGTCGAGTGGTCCTTTGTTCGTTGTGCAGTGCTCATCTTATTTTGCCCGACGTGCGCGGGGCAGGACTCAGCCTTCGATGCAACGGGCGCAGTGTCGTTCCCAGCACCCGTTCGAGCCAGGCCCTGCAGATAAGTACGCTTCGCGAGGCCTGAATCCCAGGACAGGGGCACCCGTGGAACCCCTCAGGGGCCCCCAGCTCCCAGTCTCCGCCGATGGTGCTGTTAACTTGCGTGTAGCTGCGCCGACTAGCCCTGCTGTCTGCGCTCGTACCGCGGCTGCCCTTCGCCTGGAGGAGGCGGCCAATGATGGGGTGGAGGCTGGGTCGGACGGGGGGTGGAGTCGGAAAGGATCAGACTGAGTACCTCCCGCTGGCTCACCCACGGGAGCGCGCGTCGTGGAGCTCGGGCGACCTTTGGTTGCTGACCAGCTCTCGCAGAGTAGCTCGTCTTGCTTTCTGCGTGGGGAGGGGGCCATGTCGTGGGGTATCCCGAGTGCCGCCTATGCAAAGCCGCTCGGGTGCCTGACAAAAGTGGGTTGGCCCCCTCCGAACCTCCGCCCGTCCCAGTGCTTGGCGAGGTGCGCTGCCTGGCTCGCGCCAGCTCGGACATTCCTGCTGTCCTTTTGGCCTGCCCACTAGTCACCAGACTTGTGCGCATCGCCCTCGAGCCCTCGAGCCCTCGAGCCCTCGAGCCCCCGAGCCCTCCTCCTCCTCCTCCTCCTCCTCCTCCTCCTCCTCCTCCTCCTCCTCCTCCTCCTCCTCCTCCCCCCACCGCCCTCCTCGTCCTCATCTTGTGGATTCCACGACAATGGACACCCTAACAGTCCTATCATTGAGTTTAACATGTGTTTAACATGGCGGAACATGCTATAACCATGCTTTAAACATGCTTTCACATGTTCAAAACATGTGCAACACAGATGATATACATTTGGAAATTATTTGGCAACCTGCTTCCTCTCCATCGATCGTCCTCCACAATCCTCATCCTCCTCGTCGTTGTCCTCCTCCTCCTCCCGCAGGTGGGTAAGTTCCAGATCATGCTGTCGGGCACGTGGACGGACTACTCCGCGGAGGAGGCGGCGCCGACGCCCCTCCCTTCTGCGGCTGGGCGTCGTTCGGCTCGATCTTTCGCGTGTTATTGCCATGGGCCGTCGCAGTGCTGCCTTCTGTCTCTTCCCCCCCCCCGGATGCAGGACGACGGCGACGGAGCGAGCGCCGCTAAACGGGCTCAAGGTGCGAATGGGGTCAGCGCGCGCGCACTGGCGGGTGCTGGTGGCGGATCGTTGCGCTCGAGCTCGCTGCCGTGTGCCACGACATTGGCTTCATATCATGGGGACCCTTCCGTGGCTCCGCCTCCAACCTCATCTTGCTCGGCTGCTGCTCGGGCGCGCTTCTCTCCGAGCTCGGCCGGGACACCGGGCAGCGCTGGCACCGCGGATCAGCGGAGAGCCCCCTCCAGGGCGCGGTCCGGAGCCGCACGTCGCGCCAGCGCTAGAGGCCACGTGGAGGAGGCGGCCCCGCTCGCTCCTCCCCTTGGCGCTCCTCGCCGCGAGGTGGTTGCGAACGGCGTCGTGGTTCAGGCGACGGGGCTCCCGATGCCGAGCGGGCCCTCCGTACTCTCATCATGGAGGGTCATGAGGGAGCCGCTCTCCTGGGCTGCCTGGCAGCTCGCGCGGTGACACCCCGAGGCCTGAGGCCACGACTGTCTGGAGGGCCGTCCTCTGGTGTGCCATCTCCCGCGGCAGCTCGACTCCATGGGCCACGACCTGCGGACGGTGTGCCATTGGCGGCTGTGGGAGGTTGGGCCACCCTCGGCCCCAGGTGGGGACGTCGTTCGAGGGCCTGGTGCCACATGCAGCCCGGCGTCTGCGAGCGGGCTCGGCGAATGCCGCTCCGAGGTATCTTCGGTGGCGCCGGGCCCTCGAAGCTCGACTCATGGGCGCCAGGGATGCAGCACCACGCGCCACTCGCATGCCCCCACAAGCCGAGCAGCCCGCTCGCTCGGCGGCGGCCTTCCGACGGCACCTGCGTGCTTTGACGCGTGTGCCGGGCGCATGGGGCGGGTGTGCGGAGGCGGAGGCGGAGGCGGAGGCGGAGGCGGAGGCGGAGGAGGAGGAGGAGGAGGAGGAGGAGGAGGAGGAGGAGGAGGAGGAGGAGGAGGAGGAGGAGGAGGTAGGAGGAGGAGGAGGAGGAGGAGGAGGAGGAGGAGGAGGAGGAGGCGGGGAGGAGGAGGAGGAGAAGGAGGAGGAGGAGGAGGAGGAGGAGGATGAGGAGGAGGAGGAGGGGCAGGTGTGCCTTGGTCCCCGCACCCTTTGCCAGCCGTTTGTCAGAGGGGACGCTTCAGCTCCTTGCGTCAGCGGCACCGAAGGCGACTGGCCAGAGTCGTCGCGGGGCAGCAGCCCCCGTTGTACCACGCGATCCCTCGCCTGGACGTGACAGTGCCGCCCCGAGGCTCGGACCTTCTCGCCCTGGGACAGCCCAGTCCGAATTCAGCTCCTGGGAGGTTAAATTCTGACTTTGCCCTGGTCCGAAATCCAGCTTAGTTCAGCTTAATCTGGCCCAATCTAGTTTAATCTGGCCCAATTCCGCTTAGTCCGCGGCCTAGCCCGACGTATCAGCCCCCACATGACGCTGAATTCTTTTTTTAATCTTTCGACGAAGACCTCCCAGTGGTTGCCTTCTAAGCCCAGGCGGCTGGTTCGAATAGGGTACGTATCGACTACATAATTGCTTTACGCCGAAGTTGTCTCCGCCGAATCTCCGACAAATGCGTAGGATGCTCCTTAGATCTATGGAGTATCCTGCGCATTTTCCGCAGGTTCTATGGCACATCAATTTTGGGGTAACTCGAATCTGTGGTCGATCCCCTACTCGACTAGTGCCTGGGTCAGCCAGCAGCGGGACGGAGCGTCGCAGCGAGCAGCTGCCTCCGGGCCCCTGAGGGCCGCTGCCTCGGCGGAGCGGCGGAGGCGGTCTGGGCGTGGGAGGCGGCCCTTGCGTCAAGGAGCCCAGGCCCCGCGGAGCGCTGGGCGAGGGTGCTGCAGCGAGAGCCCCCCGAGTAGGGGATCGACTACAGAACTTATCTACCCCACAGCTGATTTTCTCGGTCGAGTCATACGTATACTGTTCGTAGGCTTACGAGCAAACTACGCATTTCTCATGGATTCGACGACCAAATCAACTTTGGGGTAGATCACCTGCTCGAAGCCCTGGGGCCAGTGGCCCCCTGTGCAGACAGACAGCTGAGCGGCGCAAACAGACGGGGTCGTCCGCGCCGACACTGGCGCGTAAGCGCCCTCGTCTCCAATGTGCCGTGCCGCCCTGGCAGCCCGCGTAAGCCGCCGCGCGAGGTCGCAATGCCACCTCGCGCAAAACCTGTTTTTGATCGTCGCTTAGCTGGTGCAGGTGGCCCCCCCCTGCCCGACGGATGCGGGGAGTTCCGCCCGGTGCGCAGGCTCGAGGGCACCAGAGCAGGGCGCAGGTGCCCCGAAGGTGGGCAGGGTCGCCGGGAGGCTCCTCGCGAGGATGCGGCGGCAGCTGATTCGCAGATTCGCTACACCATCTCGCCTAACACCCGTTTTTGATCGTCGCTCACCTAGAGCGGAGGAGGAGGAGGAGGAGGAGGAGGAGGAGGAGGAGGAGGAGGAGGAGGAGGAGGATGAGGAGGAGGAGGAGGAGGCGACGACCCACGGGGGTCCGCGGCGTGCGAGGGCCGCGGCGCGGGAGGCGGGGCGAGGGGCCGCCTCGGGTGGGGTGGGGAGTCTCTCTGCTCCCACGGGGGGGGGAGGAGGAGGAGAAGGAGGAGGGGGAGGCGGAGGAGGGGGAGGAAGAGGAGGAGGAGGAGCAGGAGGGGGAGGAGGAGGAGGGGAGGAGGAGGAGGAGGAGGAGGAGGAGGAGGAGGGAGGAGGAGGAGGAGGAGGGGGAGGAGGAGGATCCGATCGTGCTCCCGCCGCCCCCCTCCCCCAGGGAGGCGGCGGCTGATTCGCTCCAGCTCGCGCCTCCTAGCGATCCGAGCCCTGTCCCGCGAGAGCTCGCAGCGAACAGGGAACGGGGGGGGGGATGGGGGAGGGGGAGGATGGGGGAGGCGGAGGAGAGGGAGAGGGAGGAGGGGTAGGGTGAGGAGGAGGAGGGGGGAGGAGGAGGAGGAGCAGCAGGAGGAGCAGGAGGGGGGGATGCTGCTGCTGCTGCTGCTGCTGCTGATGATGATGATGATGATGAGGAGGAGGAGGAGGAGGAGGAGGAGAAGGAGGAGGAGGAGGAGGAGGAGAAGGATGATGATGATGATGAGGAGGAGGAGGAGAAGGAGGAGGAGGAGGAGGAGGAGCAGGGGGGAGGAGGAGGAGGAGGAGGGGAGGAGGAGGAGGAGGAGCAGGAGGAGGAAGAGGAGGAGGAGGGAGGAGGAGGAGCAGGGGAGGAGGAGGAGGAGGAGGAGGAGGAGGAGGAGGAGGAGAGCAGGAGGAGGAAGAGGAGGAGGAGGAGGAGGAGGAGCAGGAGAAGGAGGAGGAGGAGGAGGAGGAGGAGGAGGAGGAGGAGGAGGAGGATCCGATCGTGCCTCCCGCGAGAACGGGGCCGCCTCCCAGTGCGGGGGGATGGCGAGAGACTTCGCAGCAGCGAGCTCGGCACGATGCCGCTCTGGGCGCCGAGGTGTGCCAGTGGTGTTCGGCGAGTGTAGCGAAGAGCCCCCGGGCCCCTTGAGTTCAGTCGGGCGCGTCCCTCTACAGGAGGAACATTCAAAAATAATGAAACATAGTCTGGTGACTATTTTTCTTTAATGTTTGACTATTTATGAATCTGTCTTTTGAGTCTTTTTTTAGTTTTCGCCCCAAGCCCGCCTGTATGGGGGACATGTCCGACCTGACCCTGGAGGCCTCGGGCGAGAGCATGATCCCGTGAATCGGCGTGGGGCTGGTGGGGCCGCAGCCCGAGGCTTCGAGGGTCTCCTCTGCTCGGAGTCCCTTTGTGGGGTGGCGGCTCGCTCTCCGCCGCCCTGGGGATTCCAGGGTTCAGGTCGAGTATGTCATCCCACAAGCGAATTCTGGAAGGCAAATCAAACATAGTCAAACATGTCCCAAACTAGTCAAACACAACACATGCTCAAACATCGCCTCAGACTTTTTTTTTTTTTGTTTTGCGCGTGTGTGTGATTATGTTTAATTTTGCCTCCCGTAGAGGGACAAGTACTGCCATACGCTGGAGCGCGTGGGCAAAGGAAGATGCTGCCTACCTATTATCATCGCTTTGCGGGAAAGGCGTCGCGCCGGCCTTCCAATTTACACCGTGTGCAGGCTAGAAGGAGCCTGCTTTTCCCTTGGAGTCGGGAGAATTTACTTGCATGAACGGGGGGGGGGCTGAGCCTGAAACAAGCCGAAAACAATTTGACGTGCGGAAATCACGCAAGTCGAAAGGCACTTGTACGCTCGTATTCGATTGAAGAGGGGCAAGGGGGGGGGGGCGAACGCCATGCAAGCAAACTCGCCTGGATCTTGAGAAAAACAGGCTCAAGTCAGGACGTTCGGGAACTCAATCGGGCACGACCCGACTAAATCCCCGGAGGCGGCCGCGCTGGTGGCGCCACGTGCCCTCGCCAGCGCCGCAGTGGGCCGGGCCCCCCCCTCCCCCTGGGAGGGCAACGCGCGCCGCCCGTCGCGTGGCGGGCGCTGGCGTCAAGTCGGGCGCTTACCTCTGCAGGAGGAGAATTCAAAAATAAACTAAAATAGTCAGGGGATGTTTTTTCTGCTATGTTTGAGTATTTGTGTAGTCTTTCTGCATTTTCGCCCAACATCCGCCTGTAGGAGGACATGCCCGACCTAACGCTGGCGCGCTCGCGCCTCGCGGCGCCCGCGGGGGACTCCCGGCAAAGGGGGAGGAGTAAAAGGGGGTGAGGCGAGAGGAGCAGGAGGAGGACGAGGGGGGAAGAGGGGCAGGAGTAGGAGGACAAAGAGGGGAGCGATTAATGACACGAGCATAACAACTCGGAGGTCCGCGCAGATTTTTCGGACCGGAGCTGGAGCCCCCTGGCGGCGCTTCCGGCGCCGCCCACGGAGAGTTCCGCGCGCTAGGGAGGGGGGTGCAGCAC